CAAACATAGAACAGGGGTGTAAACAGCACAACTAAAGGAGCACAACCCTCGGGGAGCACTCCACCTACCTTGCAACCCAGGCCAGCACAGTGTGATCATTCAGCATTCTGTATGCACAACTGGGGGAGAGAATTGAGAATGGGAAAACTTGCTGTTAGAAATAATCATACATGACTGGAACACAACTTCCGATGACTCAGTTCCATTAGTTTTTTTAATATTTTGGTTGGAGGAAGGTGTTGGTCAGACCTGGCAGTGCTCAGAGCTCTGTGCTCAGGGATCATTCCTAGTGGTGTTTTAGGGACTGTATATGGTGCAGGGGATTGAACCAAGGTTGGTCATGTGCAATGCAAGTGCCTTAACCCCTGGAAATCCTAGGAATTCCTCCAGATTTCCACAGCCTATCCCCCTTACACACTACACTTGATCTTAGCCAGAAGGCCAAGAAGCGAGAGTCTCTGTGCCTGACTGTCTCCACCAGGGCCCAATAGCTGAAGACCTCCGTGCCCCAGCCAAGGCCATGCTGGGAGCACTCTCCACACACTTGGATGAGCCTCACGCATAAAAGAACTGGCAGAGGAACCCAGGTGTGTGGGACCCGGGGCTGAGATCTCCAAGCCTGCACGGTTTGGGACTGGACCTGCCAGTAGCTAGACAGTTACACCCACCAACTGCCGTGTAACCCCAACAATGGCCAGGATCCAGAGATTATCACACTCAGCTCCAGGAAGCGCGTGTCGCGGCCACGCGACATCTTATCGTCTCATTCCTACTTTGGACAAACTGGCAGGCTACCGAATGTAACCTGCCCACACGGCAGAGTCTGGCAAACTCCCCGTAGTATACCCAATATGCCAATACCAGTAACAATGATGGGTCTCATTCTCCTAACCCTGAAAGAGCCTTGAATATGGCACTTTTTAAAAAAAATCTCAGGGCTAGGACAAAAGAGACGTTACTGGGGCCTGCTCGAGGCAATCGACGAACAACAGGATGGTCATGATCGTGATCGTGATCCCCCTTACTTCCCCACACCTTCCTCTGTCCTTAAACTTAGAATCTCTTTGAAAAATCTGTTTTATTTTATTTTTGTTTTTGGTCCAAACCCAGCGAAGCTCAGAGGTTACTCCTGGCTTTGCACCCAGGAATTACTGCTGGTGGTATTCCTGGGATACTAATGGGGATCATATAGGATGCTAGGGATTGAGTCAGATCAGCCACATGCTAAGCAAGCACCGTGCCCACTGTATTATCACTCTGGCCCCTAGAATAATCTTTCTTAAATTGTTCTAACCTCATCCACAGCCTCCCTTGATCTTTTGCTTGCCAGGAAGCAGGAAAAAAAAAAGGATCGGGCAGAAAGGAACAGATGCTGCTTCTTCAAACTAATATGCTGCAGTTTAGGGACATGGGGCAGGTATCAGAACTGTAAGCTCCTGACTGAATAGGTGATGGTACCTAAGATGATGCAGCTTAGGCCTCCATGAAAGGCTTCTGAGGAGCAGAAGGACTTTCTAGGGGCTAAGTGGCTAAGGTAGCAGTTTATTCCTTGCACTGCCGGAAGTCCCGAGTTTCAAACATTTGAGTCATGCATCTCTCTCTTGGGGTTTGCAGGTAGTATTTTAGTTTTATTTAAAATAATTTGGGGGACTTGTTACTGTATTTGTCATATCGAATACTTTACCTTTACCTTTTAATTTGGGGGGGGGCTGGAGCGATAGCACAGCAGGTAGGGTGTATGCCTTGCATGTGGCTGACCCGGGTTCGATTTCCAGCATCTCATATGGTTCCCCGGGCACCACCAGGAGTAATTCCTGAGTGCATGAGCCAGGAGTAACCCCCGTGCATCACCAGTGTGACCCAAAAAAAGCAAAATAAGTAAATAAAAATAATTTGGGTGGTTTTTTTTTGAGGGGGTGGTACATACAGCTGTGCTCAGGGCTTACTCCTGGCTCTGTGCTTAGTGATCACTCATGGTGGGGCTTGGGGGACAATATACCTTGTTGGGGTTTATATCCCCATCTGCTACATGCAAGGCAAGCACAACAGCAACTGGACTACCACTCTTGCCCCCAGTGGGGACGGAAAAGATAGTGCAGTGGGTAAGGCACTTACCTCGCATGTGGCCAGTCCAGATTCAGTCCCTGGTATCCCATATGATCCCCTGAGCACTGCCAGGGATGATCTCTGAGCACAGAGCTTGAACAAGCCCTAATCACTGCTGGAAGTTGCCCCTTAACCATAAATAAATAAATAAATATTGAAGAGGGAGATCAGAAATGGCTCAAAGGGCTGGCACCTGTTTACATGCAGGACCCTGGGTTCTAGTTCTGTTACCATGAGGAGTAGCTTCCAGCAATGCCCCAAAATACAAGAAAGTTGAAAGCTTGTTCCCTCCTGAAACTAATACAAGAAAGTTGAAAACTTGTTCCTTCTGTATTCTGATCTTTGAGAAAACAACCTTGCTCTAATAGTTAACAGGCTACAGTGGTAACACAATGACTTCTGGGTGTTGCCCTGAACCTAATATGGAATTTCAGTTTCCACCCAGGTTTCTGAGTTCTTAGTCACTTCATTACCTGGCTTGAAAGAGGGAACCAGGGGGAGTCCATGTTAATCTCAGACCCCAGCTTGATTGGAATTCAAGTTGCAGCCCAAGCTCCTATTGAGCTGCTAAAGCTGCTCCAGCCATGGAGATTGAGAGTGTCCTCATTTCTGCCAGTAGGGTCCTCCACTTAACACCTTCTAGTGGCTTCCCACATTGATCAGAACTCAGGGCCCGCCTCTGCTCTCTGCAGTATTCCCTCAAAAGATAGTTGTGCTTGCTCCCTCTCTACCAGTAACCCTGCTTTCCTAGCAGTTAGGGATAGGGCAGTGCCGGCAGTGCCTTGGCTATTCCCTGGTGTTTCCCTGGTGTCCACACGGTTAACTCCTTCATTTCCTGTTGGTCTTCTCTCAAATGCCACCTTCTCCCTAGAGCTCCACACCGGGTATAGACCCTTAGCGCCATCAGGCATGGTCCAAAGCAACCAAATATTCCTCTCTTCCTAGAAGTATGAGTTCCAGAAGCTTCCATTGCACAATCTGTATTCTGATCTTTGAGAAAACAACAGTGTTTTCACAGTGATGGCTATTATTTGGTTGTCCAGCGGTGGAGACAGGATGTGGACATCAATATCACGATATCAGCCTTCTGTGATAAATGTCTCATGTAAGCCAATATTTTCTATATACATATATGTCAAGGTAAAGGTAAAGGTAAAGGCCCTCCCGTTGATCGTCGATTTGCTCGAGCGGGCCCAGTAACGTCTCCATTGGAGACTTTGTTGTTACTGTGTCTGGCATATCGAATACGCTCGGTAGCTTGCCGGGCTCTCCGAGAGGGGCGGAGGAATCGAACTTGGGTCGGCCATGTTGGCCGCGTGTAAGGCGAACGCCCTACCCGCTGTGCTATAAATGACACTTTTTTTTTTTTTTTGCTGGCCACACCAGCACATGCTGAATCCAGTGCCTGGCATGTATAAGACACTGCTCTGCCACTGGCCTTACATGCCACCTTCTTTGGGGGACCTTTTCCCTTTTTTAGGTTTTTTTTTTTTTTTTTTTGCTTTTTTGGGTCACACCTGGCGATGCTCAGGGATTATTCCTGGCTCTGCACTCAGGAATTACTCCTGGCGGTGCTCGGGGGACTATGTGGGATGCTGGGGATCGAACCTGGGTCGGCCACGTGCAAGGCAAATGCCCTACCCGTTGTACTATTGCTCTAGCCCCCACCTTTTCCCTTTCTTTCTTTCTTTCTTTCTTTCTTTCTTTCTTTCTTTCTTTCTTTCTTTCTTTCTCTTTTTCTTTTTGGGTCACACCCGGCGATGGCTCAGGGGTTACTCCTGGCTCTGCACTCAGGAATTACTCCTGGCGGTGTTCAGGGGACCATATGGGATGCTGGGAATCGAACCTGGGTCAGCCGCGTGCAAGGCAAACGCCCTACCTGCTGTGCTATTGCTCCAGCCACCCTTTTCCCTTTCTTAGCCTGTCTCTCTAAAAGTGTACTTTTTGTTCCTGCTTTTCTCTATAGTGTTTATAATGCCTGATACAGTGTTTACCTTCACTATTGGGGCGGGGTGGGGGGGGGAATACACCCGGTAGTGCTAAGGGGTTACTCCTATCTCTGCTTAGGAATTAGTCCTGGTAGTGATGGGGGGGGGACTATATGGGATGCTCGGATCAAGGGACCAAACCTGGGTCGGCCCCGTGCAAGGCAAGCAAAACACCCTGCCTGCTGTACTTTCTCTCCAGCCCCTAATTTTACTAATTCTCTGTCTTGCTGTGGGACGAGGGATCTTGTATGTCCAGCTGTTCTGTTGTGCCCCCTGGTGCCATACAGAACACAGCCTGGCCCGGAGCTGACACTTGCGTCATTCACGAGCAAAAGGATGAGCTCTCCCAGGGCCCGCAGAGGATCGCCCTGAGCCTGAGACGTCCAGGAGGGCTCTACTTCCCTTTCCTGGCTTTGTGTTTCCTCATGACCCTCGTCATCCTTTGACATATACTTATTTGTTCCACGGTCTTTTCCTCCTCGTAGAATGCAAACTCGCATTACCCCAAGACGGTCGGTCTCTTGGAAGAATTGGATAATGGCAACCATTATCTATTTGGTTCACGGACACTGATACATTATTATCCACTTGGCTCGATGGATACTGAACCGTAAATCAACCTGGCAGCACCTGATGCTGGGGCGGGCTTGTCGGCATACAGCTCCCAGCGAGGGCGGAGAGGTCCGCCAGCCTGGGCTGGGTGGGGGTGGGGGCGGGGTCGGGCAGCCAGCGCCCCTTTAAATCAGACGCCGGGCGGCGCTCCCGCCAGGTGGGCCCGGCCGGGCGGGCGGCTGCCTTAACCTGAGTCCCGCCCCGACCGGGAGATTTCCGGGGCGGAGCCTCGGCCCTTTCAGGAGCGGCGCGCCCCGCCCCGCCCCGCGGGGGCGTGGCCTCGAGGGGCTTTAAGGGGCGGGCCCGCGGGCGGCCGGGGTCCGCGGGAGGCTCGGCGCGGTGGGCGTGCGCCTCGGGCCGCCATTTCTGGGCGTCTCTGGAGGAGCCGCCCCCTCCTCAGCGCGGCCGGCGCCTCGCGGGACCGCTCCCCGCTCCGTGGGCGGCCGCCGTCCGGGCCCAGGTAAGCGCGCGCGGCCCTGCCGGACGCTCAGGTCCCGGCGCTCCGGCCGCGCTCGCCTCTGGGCTGCGGCCGCCTCGCGCCGGGCTTGCGCGCGGGGCGGCGGCGGCGGCCTCGCGCGGGCACCGGCCTCTTTTCTGCGGGCCGCCGTCGGGCCGGCGCTCTGTGGAGCGCCCGTGGAGAGGGGAGGGGCGGCGGCGGCCAATCGGGCCGGGCCGCCGAGTTTCGGGCGATACTGAGCGGCGGGAGCCGGGGTGTGCGCCGGGCGGGCCGCGTCCGTCCGCGGGGGTCGCCGGCCGCCCCCGCCGGGTGGGGGTGGGCCCGGGGCTGAGGTGGCGGGCAGGGGCGCCGTCGTCCGGCTGGCGTCGAGGTTGGAGGATGTGGCCGGTTCGGGGAGGGGTGGGGGCGGGGGCGGGGGTGGGGGGGAGGCGCGCGAAAAACTCTCCCGGAGCGAGTGAGCGAGCGTGTGTGTGAGCGTGTGAGCGAGTGTGTGTGAGCGTGTGTGTGTGTGTGTGTGTGCGTGATGGTCGTCGATCGTCTCCCCCAGCCGAGCGACCTGACCTGACCTGACGGGGGTGGGGGGGGGGCGGCTCAGCCGAGTCCGAGTCAGAACTTGGGAGCCCTTGGGGAGCGGCCGAGGGGCGGCAGGTGCGCCACAGGTCGGAGCGACCGTCCCGCCACCGCACCTGCAGCTTAATGACGGGTTCGGGGAGCTGTGGGGGGGGGGCGGCGGGCGAGTAAACGTTCTTCCTCGTGTCACTCACTCACCGTGGAGGTGACTTGATGAGAGGTAACCGAGGTGTACAGCCCAGCCTTTTTTTTTTTTTTTTTTTTTGCTTTTTGGGTCACACCCAGCGATGCACAGGGGGGTTCCCCCTGGCTCTGCGCTCAGGATTACCCCTGGCGGTGCTCAGCGGACCATATGGGATGCTGGGAATCGAACCCGGGTCGCCCGCGTGCGAGGCAAACGCCCTCCCCGCTGTGCTATCGATCCAGCCCCAGCCCAGTCTTTTAGAACCGTTTTTTTAGAGATTTTTTTGTTGTTATTTATTTATTTGGGAGGGGGGGTCCTCTCCGGGAGCTCAGGGTTTTTCCTTCCTGCTGTGCCCGCCCTCAGGAATGACGCCTGGCGCTGTGCGAGGGGAGTGGGGGAGGGGGACCACATGCGAGGCCGGGGATCGAACCTCGGGTCGGCGGCGGGGCGTGCAAGGTGCTGTCGCTCCGGGCCCAAAGTTTTAAGCTTAGATCAGAGAGATTTTTAAAGATTTGGGAGGGGGCGAGAGCGGGGTTAAATTAGCCCTAACTTCATTCCCAGCATCATCCACCAGTGCCGAGCTCTCGCAGTGGATTATTTGTGCAGAGAAGCGAGTAGGCGAGGTTTTCTTCTCTTTCTGGGTGGCCTTTATAGAATAGGATGCGCTCGATTCATCCTCTTCGGAGCGTTTTCTGTGTTGATATTACTGTAACAAGAGGCAGTTGTATCTCTTTTGCGTGAGTTACTTATTTTTTGTATATTGGGATTTTGTTTTACTAAGAAATTGCTGAGGTCGGGTAGGTAGTAGAGTAAATAAGGGCACTTCCCTTGCATGCAGTGGACTCAGGCTGGTGCAGTCCCCTGTACCATTTATATTGTCCCCCCACCGACATAAGTGACCCCTGAGCACAGAGCCAGAAATGGCCAAGAAGCACCATTGGGTGTGGCTCAGCAGCACCCACCTCTCCCACAGCAGTTGTTTTAGCAAAGATTGTGGCAGTGTTCGTGGGTAATATTATACATGCTTTATGACATTTTGTGTTGTTCTAGGGGGCATTCTCAGCTCTGTGCTCTCAGAGTCTCTCCTGGTGTAGCTCAGGGGATGTAGCTGAGGGGACCATTGGGTGCCACTGTTCCACCTTGGGCCTCCTGGGTGCAAAGCATTAAGTTTTCTTGCCCACCTTCATTATAGTTGTTTGGATTTTGCATTTGTGTTAAGAAAAATCTCAGTTCAAGGCCCAGAAGGGGTAAGGCTCTCTTGCCTTGCAGGCAGCTGACCAGACTTTGATCTCTGGTACCCCATACGGTTGCCCAAGCCTGCCAGGAATGATCCCTGAGCACAACTGGGTGTGACCCCAACCATCCCCCATCAAAAACACCCCCAAAACCCCTTAGTTTATTTCTGTAGTAGATGGATTTTTTTCCTTTTTTTTTTCTTTTTTTGGCTTTTGAGCTACACTGGAGGTGCTCAGGGTATACTCCTGGCTTTGTGCTCAGGATTACTCCTGGTAGTCTTGGAGGACCATATGTGGTGCTGGGGATTTACCTGGGCCAGTTGCATAGAAGGCAAGTGTACTATCTATCACTCTGGCCCCTCACATATCTTTTATAATAGGAGTTATTTTATCTTTTTGAAAAATTAAAGGTTGCAGGTTAAAAATTAGTGTTTTGTTTGTTTGTTTGTTTCTTTGTTTTAAGAAAGCCATGTAGACTTGTGTTGGAGTAGCAGCCAGCACAGTTCGCGACTAACTTCTTTTTTATCACTGACACCCCTGAAGGCCCCATAAACACTATCATGCGTGATCAGTTGAGTGCAGAGCCAGGAGTAGGCCCTGAGCATCCCTGGTTGTGGCCCCCAAACCAAAAACAACATACAAGAATTCCCCCTGTATCCTTTTTGTGTCACAGTGTTTCTTTATTGAGCTCTTGATAATATGCAGATTGCCGTGCAAGTATTTACTAATGGTGAAGGAGTCAGACTGGGTCCCTTGCCTTGTCTTTTTTGGGAAGTACACGTTTTAGCAAAAAGGGGAGACTGGGCGATGGCTGGAAGGCTGGAGTGTGTGCTTTGTAGGCAGGAGGCCCTGAATTTGTGATTGCAAGACGTGTTCCCGTGAGCACAGCTGGGTGTGGCCCAATAATCAAAAGAAAGAAGAAAAAAAAAAGAAACCAAGGACCAGAGATACCTAAAAGGGGTGGAGCAGCATGCTTTGCATGCTCAAGTCCTAGAGTTTGATCCCCAGTGCCACATAGCCCTCCCTCCTCCCCCAGCACTGCTGGAGAGTCCCCTATTTAAAAAAAAAAATTTTTTTTAAAGCTAAACAATGGGGTTTTTAATTAGTTTTCTTAAGTAAAAGTCTATGGGTACTAGAAGGGGCACTTAATTTAGACTCAGGAGCCTGGAAATACTTTTCTGAGGAAAAGACATTTCAACAGAGACCTGAAGTTAGCCATGGGAGAGATGAAGTGGATAAAGAATGTTTTGGATGGCTGAACAACTACTGAAAGAAGCCTGAAAGAGGCCTGCAGTTTGGAAAGACTCAGTTGAACCAAGCCAGCTGCTGGGAGTGGGCTGCCAGCAGGGTCCTCAGGAAGTACTGGCTCAGGGAACAAGGCCCTTACAGATTTTTAGTGTTAGATTTGTGGTTGCTAAAACCCCCACCATTACAGCATGAATGTGGGAGAGGAAAGCAGGGAAAGAGATGGAACTCACTTTTGGAAGGAAACTCTTAAAGACTTTTGAAACATCAGACATTGTTTTTTACAGAAGATATTGGTACCTCATGATCTTTGCTCGAAAAAATCTGACATTCTTTTACTCTTTTGGGGGTTTTGTTTTAAGGACACACCTTGTGTGTGCAGGGAATAAATATTCCCTGCTAATTGCTCTGGAAGGCCACTCCTGGTGGTGGTTAGGGCACCCTGTAGTGAAGGGGATTGATACCTGGTTCTCCCACCTGCAAAACTTCAGCTCCAGCACTTTGAACTATTTCAAATGCTGCCCTCTTTTTTTAGTTCTTTTGTGCATGTCCAAGTGTGTATATCTATGTAGCACATCTCATCCCAGTGTGGCGTGAATATATACATTTTTCTCTGATCTTTTCATTTATTAATTTTGTGGCATTCTGTGTACCATTGTTAAACTATTTTTGCTGTTAATGCACGCATTTAAAGTTAAAGTCAAGTATACCGTGAAAAATCCTTGTTTCTACAACCTTGAGTACATATACGGGACTTTTCTTTAGTCTCTCCTGCCAGAAATAGAATTTCTGAATACAAGAGTTTACATGTTATTTTGTTGATAGTGGGATCAGATCCTCCTGCTAAGAGAGCAGTTGTGCACGATTGATTGTTCCTCTCATATCTTTTACAACACTTTTATTTATTTTTTTGAAGGTTTTTGTTTATGTGCTTTCAAAGCATCTGTTTTTAGGGGTGGATGGGAGCATATTTGGCCATGCTCAGGGCTTACTTATTCCTGTGCTCAGGGATCATTCCTGAGTTTGCTCAGGGGAGCACCTGGGATGCTGGGGATCAAACCCTGGTTGTGTACATGCAAGGTAAGCATTCTACTTATACTATTACTCTGCACCCCAAAACAGATTTTTAAAAAGTTTTTATTTGAGGTACTGTTAGTGATGAGCTGGAGCGATAGCACAGCGTGTAGGGCATTTCCCTTGCACGCAGTTGACCCGGATTTGATTCCTCCGCCCCTCTTGGAGAGCGTGGCAAGCTACTGAGAGTATCTCACCTGCATGGCAAAGCCTGGCAAGCTACCCATGATGTATTCGATATGCCAAAAACAGTAACAAGTCTCACAATTCGTTGTGAGACGTTAATGGTGCCCACTAGAGCAAATTGATGAATAACGGGCGTACAGGGCTACTGTTAGTGATGGTTAGTGTCTTTGTACATAATTCCAACACTATGTCTATTCCAACACTATTATTGCACCCAGCTTTCTCCCCAAGGTTCCTAATACCCACTTCCTCACCCCCCACCCCCCCACACACACTGAGTTGACAATGGCTATTTTGAATGACAGTTTCTTATTTTATAATCTGGATTTCCTTGATTACTGTTGAGGTTCTGCCTTAACGTCTTTACGATTTTCATTGCATATTGTTTTTTACAACTTTTTTTCATGTTTTGTCCATTTTTTCCTGTTGTTTTTGTCTTAATGATTTGTAATTATTATTTATTGAACTCTATTACTCATTCCAGCCGGAGCGATAGCACAGCGGGTAGGGCGTTTGCCTTACAAGCGGCCAACATGGCCGACCCGAGTTCGATTCCTCCGCCCCTCTCGGAGAGCCCGGCAAGCTACCGAGAGTATTCGATATGCCAGACACAGTAACAACAAAGTCTCCAATGGAGACGTTACTGGGCCCGCTCGAGCAAATCGACGATCAACGGGAGGGCCTTTACCTTTACCTTTTATTACTCATTCAGAATTTTTTTGCAGAATTTTAAAAACCTGTCATCCTAATACATTGTTTTCTTCTAGTACGTTCTCATGTTTTTCACATGAAATCTTTAATCCAACTAAATTTAAGTTGCTTTCATATTTGTAGAAAGAAGTGTTTGACACAGGATTTTATAGTCTAAAATTTGTTGTTAATCTGGAAGAAGCTGTTTTTTGTTGTTTTTTGTTTTTTTTTTAACTCTACTTGTATAGTATTTTCAAGGTGGTGAAGGGCAAGGTGAAAATCAAAAAGCTTGAAAGTCAGAAAACTTGTTTTATTTTGAGTTTATTTGCTTCCTAGAAATTAGAAAGCTCTAGTATGTTATGCATATTTTTCCTCAGAAATTATTTAATTTATTTAAAGCTATGTAATTTAATCCTCAAAACAATCATGGTGAAATGCCCTTTTATCAGAAAACAGGTGTAGTAACTCTATGTTCTTAGAGATCCTGAGCTAATTTTTTTTAATTATGGAGAATTAATTTCATAATTAATTAGAATTAGAATTCCAGTACATACAGAAGTAGTTAGAAGAGTGCAATGATCATTATCCTACTTCAGTTATTGACCAGTTACTGACTAGTTTGTTTCATCTGTCATCTTTTAAGTCCCTTCATTTGTTTTTCTGAAAATACTAGACATCCTCTCATTTCTTAATATTTCAGTATGTATCTTTAAAAGATTAGTACTGATACTAGACATCCTATCATTTCTTAATATTTCAATATATAGCTTCAAAAGATAAGTACTTGGCCAAAGAAGTAGCCTGAAGGGCTGGCTTGGACCTGTGCTACTTGGTCCTCCTGGAAACCCGCACCCCCAACGCCACTGGGTGTGACCCAAAGGCAACTCAACAAAAAAGATGAGGACTAAGGACTCCTTTCCTAAAATTCCTTTGACATCACTACTTTCTAAAAGAAAAGTAGTGGTAATTTCTTGGTTATCATTACAGCTCATGTTTAAATGTTTGTTTGTATGTGTGTAAATTACCTCCTTGGGAAGTTCAAATCACAGCTATCATGGTTCTGTCACTGTACCTAACCATGTGGTGGTGTGATGCATGTAAAAATGAGGTTGAGTTAACATATATTGATTATTTCAATGTTTGTATTTTGATATTTCTTGTTTATTTATTTTTGCTTTTGGGGTCTCACCTGTCCATGCACAGGAGTTACTCCTGGTTCTGCACTCAGCAGTCACTCCTGGTGGTGCTCAGGGGACCATATGGGCTGCTGGGAATTAAACCCAGATTGGCCGCATGCAAGGCAAACACCCTACTTGCTGTGCTTTTGCTCTGTATTTTAACATTTCAACTTTGATATTTATCATGTTTACAAATGCATTTAGTGTAAAACATCAATTGGTTACATAATTTTTTAAAATCAATACCAAACTGTGAATTAAAATTTGTTTTGAAAGAATTTTAGACTTAAATAGAAATTTAGTACACAATACAGAGTTTCAGCATTTCTCCTTGCTTCACTCAGTAGCATGTCAATTTAAAATTTTATTTTAGTTAGGATCTAAAATAAGTCCACTTTTTAATTGGGGTGTATTTTGCGTCTCTTAAAGTATAGTTTCCTCTGCATAACTTATTTTTTCTCTTGCAATTTGTTGACATGCTGAGTTAAATTAAAAAAAACACTCATTTATATTTTTACCCAATTTATTTTTAGCTGTTATTTTTGATAGTTTCTTATATCTGAAACTATTTACTAAATAATTAACTTAGCCAGTGGTTTAATTTTTCTCTTGGTCTACTTTATGAAAATAAGATTATACTTTTGGAAGTTTTTCTGAAGCCTTGGTAACACTATTTAATGAACATTTGTTGTAACTAATTGATAATGACATAAACTGGTTGGTTAGTTGTTCCAAATAGAAATTATGCCCTCAGAAATTAAAAATGAATAATTAAAATCTGAACAGTGAAGCTGTAAGATATTTTCAGATTTAGTGGAGTAAATGAACAGAGGACCAACTTTGGTTATCAGAGAATGTTTCTCAGGGGATATTGGTGGAGTTAAAGGATAAGTAGGGATTTTCTGACAGGAGAGCTTTAGATGTCTGGGATAACAAGTATGACCTCTCATAGACAGCTGAAGTGAGACTGGGCTACAAGGGGCAAAGGGGAAGGGATACTCCAAATAAAACACCTGGAGAGGTGGAGAGGAGCTGGAGAGGTAGCGCAGTGCATAGGGCATTTGCCTTGCACGTGGCCGACCCAGGTTTGATTCCCAGCATCCCATATGATCCTCTGAGCACTGCCAGGAGTAACTCCTGAGTGCAGAGCCAGGAGTAACCCCTGTGCATCGCAGGGTGTGACCCAAAAAGAAAAAAAAAACCCAACCAACAAACAAAAAAAGACACCTGGAGAGAAAGAGATTGGGGCCAGATTTTGTGAGAGGGCTTATAACTAGTTATTTTTAGGATTTAAGCAGATGAACATATAATTGAGAAATATTGTGGTATTTTTACCTAATTAGTTTACCTAATTAGGTAGCCATATCCATACATACACTTCACATACTTGTGATATGTGCACAATATTTAATTTAAAGTTCACTTATTTTTAATTTTTAAATTATCTTGTAATTTAATGATTTTTATAAATGTCACTAGTGGAGTTTTACAGCCCTTTTGAAAACAGTTCTTTCCTGAATTTCGTTCCCTCCTCCAGGCAGCCACAGCTACTTTCCATATTTTATTTTGTTAAGTTTTACTAATTTCCTTTTTGGTTTTGTGCCATTCCTGGCTTTGCTCAGGACTTGCTTCAGATTTTATGCTCTGGGATCACTCTTTTACGGTGCTCGGGACCATATGTTGTATTGTTGATGAAACTAGAGTTAATTAAATGAAAAGCAGGTGCCTTAACCACCTGTACTGTCTCCCTCAGCCACTTTCTCATTTTAAATAGGAAATTTGGTTTGTGGGGTGTGTGTGTGTGTGTGTGTGTGTGTGTGTGTGTGTGTGTGTAGCAATGGGAGAGGAGAGCACTCCATTGTATATAGAGGAAATTTGTTATATGCTCAGAGTAGTGGGGAGTGGTTGACTCCAGAATCATAAATAACATGCTTTTACTGCTATTTTTTGATTTTTCACTTTTAGGAATTAGCTTTGAATTTGAGTTGACAAGATGAGAAATTAGCTCTCTTGCCACTTCAGTTGTACATCTCCTTTCACTTAAACTTTATGGCTACAGTTACATAATTATTTAGTGTTTATGAATACTATGACAAAATTCTTAGCTGAGTATTTTTGTTTGTGTGTGTTTTTTTTTTGTTTTTTTGTTTTTTTTTTTGGTGGGAAGGATACACCCAGTGATTCTCAGGGCTTGCTTAAACCCATCAGTGTTCAGGGCTTGCTTACTCTTTGTTTTGCATTCAGAGATCACTCTTGGCTTTGCTCAGGGAAATGTAACAGGAGTGCCAGTGTTTGAATCCTGGTCTGCCACATGCAAGGCAATTGCCTTATTCTCTGTACTATCTCTTCAGTCCCAAGGGAGGTCTTGGTTTGCTCCCAGGCCGTGCATGGTCCCTAGCACTGCCAGGAGCAACCTCTGAGCTCCAACCCAGGAAGAGTACCTGAGCAATGCTGGGTTGCCTCAAAAACTAAAGCCCAAAAATAAACTCTTAAGATGCTGATCATAAGGATACCTTAGCATCTTATTTTATGTTGAAAGATACTTAAAACTAATGGACATATAATTTATTAACCCCAAAGATTTGCTGAACTTCAAAATGATTACCCTCTACTGCTAGATTAGCTCCTTATAAATTAGGTCAATAAGCTACCAAATGCTCTAGGCGATATAGCTCAACTTTATTTTAAAATATTTATAAAATTTTTTGACTTAAAGGAGCTAGTTTTATTTTAGTTTTATTTCCCCCCCCCAAAAAACAGTTGATCAGGAGCTTATTTTAGTAGCATATTTACTAAATCCCATTATTTGGAAATTGTGGAAGTCTTCTGATGAAATCTTTTTTTTCTCTGGCTTTGTAGTGGCAAAAATGCTGCGCTTCTTCCGGAGAACTCTTGGGCGGCGGTCTATGCGTAAACATGCTGAGAAGGAACGACTCCGGGAAGCTCAGAGAGCTTCTACGCACATTCCTGCAGCTGGAGATGCGAAGTCCATCATCACATGTCGTGTGTCCCTTCTGGATGGAACAGATGTTAGTGTGGACTTGCCGGTATGTGATTCTTGCTGACCTGTAAATTCTTTATGCGGGGACTGTCTTCATTTGAGCTTTCTAGGGTAACTGCTAACCTCTTGGGGAATTAGAATGTAGGTCAGTATGGTTCAGACATTGTATCATTCATATACAGGATGAGGTAATCTGAGGGACCTGGAATGATAGTATTTCTCTGAAATTAGTAGTATTACTAAGCCCTTTAAATCAGAGGTTCCCAAACTTATTTGGCCTACCTCCCCCTATTCAGAAGATAACTACTCAGCAGACCTGTTGTTGCCTGCCTTTCCCTATCTGCAGGCTCCCCTTTTCCCCCCTCTGCACCTCATACACATACAGATGTATACAGACACTGAAATCTACCTTCAACAGACAATGCTCTCCCCAGTTCTGTTGACCTGGATCATCTTTCTAGGACACTTCCGAGGAAGGTAGTATCACCCACTTTGGGAAACAATGGCTTTAAATGATAAAGCATTTTTGGCATGAGTCTTTTGTTGTTGTTGTTCAATAATTATTGCTGGTGATCAAACTCAGGACCCCATTCATACGAAGCATGTCTTCTGCCACTGAACTGCATGCATGGTTGGTTTGAGTAACTTGTGTGTGTATTCTTTGTGATGGTAGTTTCTAGTGTGATCTAGTGGTTTTGTCATCATCTTTGCTGATCAGTTAAAGCAGTGAAACTCTTTGAGAGTGATAATAACACTTAACATGGGGCTTGGAGAGAGAGAGAGCACAAAGGGCTAGCATGTGCAAGAACTTGAGTTCAGTTTCTGGTGCTGAGTGGCTCAACCCCCAAAACTGCTGAGTGTAGGGCTGGACTGTGAGCACTGCTGTGAGTACTGCCTGGTACACCCTGAGCACTGCCAGGCCACAGCAGTGTCATAACACCAGGCTTAGCATTAAACTGCTGACTTTTTGGTAAGGTGGCTCCAGGAGTGGTCCCTGGAGTCACTAGGCGCTTCTTGAGAAGGTCCCTTTCATATTTCCCCAAAGAAATGCTTATATGTTTATAGTAAGACTTCTCTATGTTTTACTGTATCTCAGTATATTTATTTTCTTCAAAATAAGTACTTCCTTTGTCAGTTTGGTATGTTTGCAGACTTTTTGTCAAAGTGAAAAAATGGGGCTTCTTCACATTTTTCAGCTCTGACTTTTTGCTTCTTGCTTTTTCAGTAAGTAGTTTGTAGGGTAGTTTTTTTTTCATTACTGTAATCTTTACAAAAATGTTATAATTATATCCAGGTTTTAGGTAGCTTTCTATTGCAGTTACCGGTACATCGTTGACTCACAGCATGGAACAATCCTATATAAATATTTTTTGTTTTGGTGTGAAAGGCACACATGGCAGTGCTCAGGGAACTATGTGGTAAAGGAGTTTGCAAAACATGTACTCTAGCCCTTGCATCCAACTCCCACACCCCAGTTCAGTATATTTAGATGTTAGTGTTTCCTTATAGACCTCGTTTATGAAGGAAGGGGACACTATATAGAGGGGGAAGTAGAATTTCTTTCTGAACTATACACCAACATCAAATCCATTTCATGTCTTTATCGTGTAGTAAAAGATTTGCAGTAAGTTGCAAATATACACTTTGATGTAAGTTTCTTAGTGTGTTCACAATATTTTCCTTCCCTACAAATTCTTATTTATCCCAAATGGAATCAAAACACACCTTTCTGTGGGGTGATGGATGGCATAGGTGCTGCTGTTATACGTAATTGAACAAACTCTGTAAGGCCTTTGATTCAAAGTGAGAGATTAAGAAAATGAATAGTTTATGTGAATGTTCAGATTAACTGAATCATCTAGAATGTACCTTATGTATTTTAAAATAATGGATTATATTATAATTAAAGATGTAGAATTTTCTGGAGTCAGGTGTATCTCAGCAGTAGAGTACTTGCCTTGCATGTGAGATCCTGGGTTTAATGTCTTCCGTAACCAAAAAATAAAACAATTTCTTGAAGTGTTTTGATTGGGTTATAATACAGTATATAAATATCTTTGTATGTTAGAGTGGATATTTTTAGGGCTTTTAGTTCTAGAAGATTTTAAGGTACTAAAAGTTCCCTTCCATTCTTTTCCCTCCTCTCCTCTCCCATCCCCTCCCCTCCCTTCCCCTCCCCTCCCCTCCCCTTCTCCTCCTCTCCTCTTCTCTCCTCTCCTTTCCCATTCTTTTTTCCCTTCCTTCCACCCACCTGGGGTTGCACATACTTGGTTGTGTTGCTCCGTGGGTTACATATTTGGTTGTGGTGCTTATGAGGGGTTTCACAGTTCAGTTCTGATGCTTGCACACATTCTCACCAGAGTCATATATATTTAGTTGTTCTCAAGCACATTCTGATTGTAGTGTTCACTAGGGCTCATGGGGACTCACACATGTGCTCTCCAGGAGTTGTACTTCTGACTACAGTGCCATACATCTTTACTTGTGTGTGCTGGGGTTGATCACCCTAGTTACATGTACGCATATGAGTATTCTGGATATCCACATTCTGTTTGTTTGCTGGGGTGTTCCAAAGAGTAGTTGCTGGTTCTATGCTCATTATAGTTAAGACAACACTGGGGATAGAGTACACAGTCTCACACTTGAAAGGCAGCTACTTTTTAAAAATTTTTCATTGTTTTTTGGGCCACACTGGACAATGCTCAGGGGTTACTCCTGGCACTACACTTAGCAATTAGTCCTGGAGGTGCTCGGAGGACTGTATGCTGCTGGATATGGAGCCAGGGTTGGCTGCATGCAAAGCAAGTACTATACCTGCTGACCTGTATGTCTAGCCCCAGAAAGGCAGCTGCTTTTATTTATTTATTTTTATTTATTTATTTATTTATCTTATGTAGGAGTACTGCTATTTATTCAGCCACTGATTAGGCTGATTGAATTGGGCATGAACTCCACCTTACTTTTTTATTTTCATTTTTTATAATTTTATTTATTGAATCACTGTGAGAGCAGTTACAGAGCTTTTAGGTTTAAGTCTCGATCATACAATGAAACACCTGTACCTTCACCAGTGCCCATTCTCCACCACCAAAAACCCCAGTATACCCCCATCCCACAACCTCCCCCTACCTGTGGAGCAGGTGATTTCCACATTACTCTCTCTCTACTTTGATTACATTCAATATTTTGACACCAGACCCCCTGTTATTATTTGGGATTTTACCCCAACACTCAGATCTGCCGAAAAGGCAACCGTAGAGAATTTGTTTTATATTGCTGGTTATAGAATAGCATATGATGTCGCGTGGCTACAGTAGTGGCCACGCAATTTTGGGATTCCGAAATTTTAACATTTATATCTGGAGGGATTTCTGCCAAAATCTGCTGGGTTCCGAGATTTGTTCCTGAGTCTCTTGGATCATGGCCATTAAGCAGTTTGATCAGGAGCCAGAGAGGCCATTCGTGGGCAGCTACTTGGGGTCTTGTTGGGACAGGGAGGAAAGGGCCGGCTCCACCCCAATCCCATGAGGCCCCCGTGTGTCTTGTCACTGAGGGCCCAAACCTAACTGTCTAATGGCCTCTGGACGATGGCAGCCACCAAACCATCAAGGGGGAACAGGTGGAGGGACAGATTTCCGAGATTTGTTTCTGAGTCTCTAGGATCATGGCCGTTAAGCAGCTTGATCAGGAACCAGAGAGGCCGTTTGTGGGTGGCGACTTGGGGTCTCGTTGGGACGGGGAGGAAAGGACCAGCTCCACCCCCATCCCGTGAGTCCCTGCATGTCTCGTCACTGTGGGCCCAAACTTGACTGTTTGGGCCTCTGGAGGATGGCGGCCAGCAGGCTGCCAGGGGAAACAGGTCAAGGCACAGCAGCTGCTTTTAACCACTGAACCAGTTCTTGGGCCCAAGACTTTAAGATACTTAAATTTTCTTTCTGTAAGGACTTCCTGGGGTTTGCCAGACATTCCAGTATGTGATAGTTTATGAGGATAGTTTTCATAGTCATTTCTTACTTTGTGTCAAGAGTTTTGTGTACTATTCTTTTAAAATATCATTGGATATGTGGGGGGGAAAAACTTGAAATTGCTGTACAAGGGCCTGGTGAGAAGTTTCTTATTACCTAATATTTGAAGTATGAAGTCTTAAGCTTGTTGGTAGAGAGGCTCATACTTGGAAAGTAGAATTTCTTTGTAAAGGAGCTTTTTAAAAAGGTAGTATGGTGTGCATAAGAAATAGCCCTAGACTTTAAAGTGGGAGGACAGATGACTAGCGAGTGACTTAGGTAGACAGGGGTTTCCTAGGCTTTGTATGTTCAGTAGAGTGTATTTGGTGTTTAACCAAGACAACAAAATGCTGCCTAGTCTCTCCTGTAGACAATTACAGTGAAAAGCCAAGAGGTCTAGATTTGACTTGTAGAAGTAGAACAATTGCCTTTTCAGCATGACCGGTGAAATCTTAGAGTTTGAAAACTAACTTTCGATGTTATCATGGATATAAAAAAGGCATTGCCTGTCCATTTAGTAGAACTAAACTGTTCTACTTAAAAAAAAAATAGGCCAAAGGAATGCTAAATGTTGTTGTTGTCCCCCTTTATTATTGATACTACAGTGACTAGAAGTTGCACACATGTCTGGGTGTGGTGCTCACATGTTAGTTTGCTCACCAAGCACAACTCAAACTTGTGTGTGTGCTCACAACTCACATTCATAAGTTGTGATGCTCACTTGCATTCTGATTGTGCTTGCTGTGGGTCAGTGCAGTCCCTACAGAGGTGCTTTCCAGGGGCTGCCTGACTGGTGTTCAGTCAGCTTGTCTAGTTTGACTCACTGAGGGGAGAGAGGTTTTAGCCCTTTAGTTGTGCTCAAACTGACCTGGCAGCAGTACAGCCAGAAATACCTTGTGACACCAATGATCACAGAGAGTAGAGCTGCTAGAATCACATTTTGGTGTATGTGGTGGTGGCACTCGGGGTGGAACTAATGACCTTATACTTGCAAGGCTGGAGCGATAGCACAGCGGGTAGGGCGTCTGCCTTGCACGCAGCC